TAACGTGCAGCCCAACTGGGATTAATGCATGTCCTTGTGTTGTGTTTTACACACAATTTCATGCAATACATAAACCAAGCAAAATTCATTTATATTTCTACGGAACTGAATCAAACTTAACGGGGGTATTAACTTGTTGGTATAGTTTGCCAGTATCGAATTGAGTTGAAGAAGAGAAAAGTGAAAAATGTTCACAGATACCAAATCAGAAAAACCCAATGCTGGAGTATTATTCATTAAACTGAAAGATATTATTACCGTTCGTGTGATTACTTTCTACAGATACTAACGTATAATATGAATTTGAGTACGGCACTCTATTTTTATAGAGTGTGGGAATATAAACTCCGTTTTTGCGCACTCTATTCAGACAATGTTAACAGCTCAGACAGCTCAACTGGTTAACTCTTTCGCGAGCCACTTTAGTGAACTATAGTATACGAATCTAGGATAGTCGGTATCAAAGGAGGCATTTTGCCTCCTTTAAGGCGAGTGATGGATCACCTTCAAATCTTCCAAATGTGATTTGCTTGGTCTTTTTATGCCCATAACGAACAGTCGTAAACGTACTTAATTATAAAAGGAGGCATTTTGCCTCCTTTAACATTGATACATCGTCGTACTTAGTTGAAAAGCAGGAAAAGGGAGGCATTCTGCTTCCTCTGATCACGAAAGGGTTAAGACACTTGGGTTTATTGAGATCCCCCAGAGGGTGCAGGGTTGTCGCGGGTTCGATTCCCATCGAATACGTTAATTCTCCATGCTAAATTGGTAAATCGCCTTGTGTATTGTCAATACCCTAGCTGCAAACTCGACTAATATCTCTTTTGCTGCTACTTAATCCTCAATGACGATGTCTTCCAGGGTTTTGCATGATGTGCTCGAAGTCTCGCAGTCACCAACGTTTCCGCTATCATCGTCAGCACTGTTGTGGCTACGAAGTTCCCGAGCCATACGGAACTTGGCTCCGTACACATCGTGGCGTGCTACGTGTCACGAAGTAGGGTCATCGCTAAAACCACAGATCGAAACGCTTTTCCCAACGAAAGAGTCTGGTGTCAGTCGCCACGCTTTCATCACTCACGCTGCGACCATCTCAACCTCTGGCTGACGAGGGTTTCCCCCTCTAGTGTAGCGAACTTGGTCCGAGTTTTTTTTCACTCATTGATGATCTCGCACAGGTTGTCCTTAAATGGCTTGTAGATTCCGACGTCTCCAGCCTGAAGTAGGGCATTAAGCCTCCTGGAATCACTACCATGTCGATGTCCTACTCTTAGCAACGCTGCTTGACCTTCTTCGCAATATGCGCCCGCATCGAGACCCAGATGACATACTGCCTAGTGGTTTTGGCTACTTCAGGGAAGTACCAATCCAGCCGGTTGAGGAGTAGGTTTCGGTCCACCCATGTTCGCTCTTGATAAGCGACGTAGCACCCGCTAACACGCTCAATTGGACCACGTGTCTTTCGCTTCCAGATAAGACACGGCGACAGCTTCTTTCCGGAAGCTGTTACTGCATGCCAGCAGTAATCCTCATGGACGAGACCCGCTAGAGCGAATGACGACGTGGCGTGCCCCAACTTTATCAACCGTGTGAGTACAGGCATCCTCGAAATAGACAGCGGTCTCGTTCATTAAAATCGTTCGGGCACGGTTCATGGATAGCTTGTGCTCGCCAAAATAGGCCACGAAGGAAACCGCTCGCTCCACCAATTCATCGTCATCGAGTGTTGTGAGGTTTGTACGCTATCTGAGGGCTAGACGGTTGCGTTTGATGAACCCTTGTACCCACGGATCGGACGCCACGAAGCGGATTGGGTCGTCTTCCAACG